TGAGCGAGAGAGGGAGGGAGAGAGGGAGGAAGGAAGGAAGGAAGGAAGGAAGGAAGGAAGGAAGGAAGGAAGGAAGGAAGGGAGGGAGGGAAGGAGGGAGGGAGGGAGGGAGGGAGAGAGGGGAGAGAGAGAGATTGAGAGAGAGAGAGAGAGAGAGAGAGCAGTATCATGTTTTGAGGCTGGCCCAGATAAAGGCATGAGACCCTACTTGTAAAAAAAAAATCCTAAAAATGGAAGCTAATAATTATGGAGAAAGTAGATATTGACAACTATCTTTGGAAGATGAAGCAAGGTGATATATAAAATGCATAAGTCAAGAAAAAAGAAATAAAAGTAATTACATATGGAGAGCAGACCAAGGTTGAGAGAAAAATTAGCTTTTTATTGTAGTTTTTTTCTTAAACCAATGGGCAATATTACTTTAATGGAAATAAATTTAAGCTGAAGGAGAGATTAAGTTCATAACTTAAATGAACTAATATCCTAAATTATTTTACATAGAAACTCATCTGTCCCATTAGAATAGTCTGAGCCCTTGGTGTCATGTAATTCCAAATGCACTTTTTGTAGTAGAGGGAATTTAGGAATATTACCCTAATTCTTCTAGAGATACTACTATAAGTTACAAGTCTGGGTGAAGATAAGAAAATAGAAATTTACTCTTTGTAACCCTTCACCAAAAATAAGCAAGCTGCGGTAATTTCGCTGTGTACAGGTTCTTTCAGTGCAGATGACAATTTGGAAGCAAGCAAAAAAGAAAACTGTAATGTTAATATCCCCTGCTGTCTCTCAACCTCAAGATTTTTAACAGCTGGAATTTCACATTGCTAGGCAGAAATGTCTAACACAAGCATCTGGGATTCATTCATGTCAATTGTTGCTTTTTAAGAAGGGTATTCTTTATGTAAAATATTAGCCTTCCTCTAAAGACCATTTCAGAAGAAATAAATGTCCCTTCCTTCCTATTCCTGCCAAGGCTCCATTTCAAAGTTTCAGCCAGAATTAGGAAATTGAAAAGGAACTCCCTTCCTGGATGTAAATGTCTCTTTATTCCATACAAAAAAAGCTTCAGGACAGTCCCAAGGGTGAAACAGCTTCTTCTGGATCCTCAAGTCTAATTCCAGATGTGAGCCCCCAAGGTAGACAAGCAGATCTAGGCCTCCTGCCCCTTTCCAGATGTTAGCCTCCAGGAAGAGGCGTGTGGTGGAGACCTAATCCCCTGATTCCAGATGTGGGCCAAAGAGCATAGGAATAAAAGGAAACATCTTCTTGCCTTACACCACATGTAATTCCCTAAGTGAGAAAGACTCCTGGTGCCTATCCAACAACACTCTAAACTAAGCCTCCAGAGACATAAATTGGTCTTATTGTTCTGTCTCTCACCATTTTTTATCTCTATTTTTCCATTCTCAATCCAAAATGAAATAGGCTTCCTCACCTGGGTCAAGGTGCTCAGCTGTGGACACACTTTAAAAATTTGGTTATTTTGAAAGTCTAGGCTCCTTAAGCCAGTCAGGTTTTCTAGCGATGTGGGCATCTTCGTTATCTTCTTCCCATTCAAAGTAACAATCTTAGCGTGGTTACCACCCTTCATGACTCTTATTAACAACCTCTCAGCCATGATTTTGACGAGGTGTTTAAAAATGATAACTATTAGTAGGGCTCTTCATTGTTCATTTTTTAGAATCCCTAATTGTAGAACTGATATGTCATAGAGGCGAAGACATTCTGAGGTAAAAGGTAGAGAAAAGAAATAGCTGGTATAGCTTTAGGTAGGAAGTATGTGAGGCAAGTGTTAGATACTTATTCCCAACACATGGCAGCTATTTAAAGATGAATGAGACCACATTGAAAGAACACAGAATACATCTTCTAGAATCTTCCAATTTAATATGAGGATAAAGAAAGAAAGAGTAATCTAAGAGCAGACTGAAATACATCAAAATATCAAAATCTAAGAATTCTTAATGGTATTTTTTCATACATTAGTGACACGGGAGATTCCCTTGTGTCATTTCTACTTATGTATTAGAAATAAAGTCAGGAGTGGTCCATTAAAACAAGGCATTTGACCAGAAGCTTTCTTGCAGAGTGACTTGTGGACATGGCAAAATTCATTCATTAAAAAGCCTACAGACAAACAGGACCAATTAGAAGGGAGCCAATTAGCAAGGGAGGGGATGGACTATAATAAAATAAAATGAGAAAATGGATAGAAACTGTATATATAGCAGAAAACACATGCCCAGAATAGACTTCCTATTACAAAAGGAAGGCAGGCAGGGAGGAGAAAGCCTAAATTTGCTTCTAAAATTCAACTAACCACAGGAGGTATATGTATTCAAATTACCCAGTTGAGAGTAATGTGTCACTGAGGTGACACTCAGCAGGGAATGTAAACCCCATGGTAGATCAATGAGGAATTGTGGAGGGATCCCCCCATGCTAAGTATAAAATTGCTTCTTGCAATCACCCAAAGCATGCCTGCAATACAAGAGATGCTTGATCTTGTAAGACCATCATTAAAATCTTGCTTTTATTGCTATCTCCTAAGTCCATCCTTTGAACTTAGATGGGTGTGCTTCTCACATTATATTTACAATCTATCCATAATTGTACTTTGTTTGAAAGGAAACTCATCAAACCCAATAGGAGTTTCTAGGACAACTGGTTGATAAATGAAAAAAGAATCAGGCATTTATTATTTCTTTACAGGAAAAACAGCATTTGAGTAAAATCTAATAGTTAAAAAAGTTCTTTTTAAAAATATTTTAGCGGGGGGGGGTGGGAGGGGGAGGGGAATGGGAAATGGGAAGTGATGGGAAGGGGAAACCACAATGCTTGATAAGAAATGTACTCATTACCTTGCCCATGTAATTGTAACCCCTCTGTACAGTATTTTCACAATAAAAAATACGTGTGTGTGGTGTGTGTGTGTGTGTGTATTTTAGAAACTAGGTGCCAGTGGCTCATGCCCATAATCCTAGCAACTCAGGAGGCTGAGATCTGAGGATTGCTGTTCAAAGCCAGCCTTGGCAAGAAAGTCCATGAGACTCTTATTGCCAATTAGTCACCAGAACACTGGATATGATGCTGTGGCTCAGAGTGGTAGAGCACTAGCCTTGAATGGGGGAGGGGAGAGTTCAGTGACAGCACTTAGGCCATGAGTTCAAACCCCATGACAGACAAATAAATAAAGATAGGTAAATAGATAAGTAGATAAAAAAATAAAAATACTTTATACCGTTTTGAGCTTTATTATATATTTTTAATGTAGACATATAAAAATAACTATGCATATGTATCTATACCTTATTCATAGAAGAAATTTGAAGCTAATAAAAAGGAAGAGAAAATAGGTATAAAAATTCATTTTTTGTTGGGCTGGGAAGGTGGCTCAGTGGTAGAGTGCTTGCTTTGCATGCATGAGGCCCTGGGTTCAATTCCTCAACACCACATAAGCAGAAAAAGAAAAAAAAAAGCCGGAAGTGGCGCTATGGCTCAAGTAGTAGAGTACTAGCCTTGAGGTGAAGAGCTGAGGGACAGCGCCCAGGCCCAGAGTTCAGGCCCCACAACCGACAAAAAAATAAAAAAAATTCATTTTTGTAAATGCTGATGAAATAAAGAATCTATACAAAGATCATAACTTTGGAGCCAAAATTTTTACATTAAAAGTTGTTAGAAAAAACTTCATAAAGTGATCAGGTCAATAACTGAAACACATAAATCCATTTCAACTGTCATTAACACTGAGAAAATAATGTATTATAAGCCTTATTATAAGATAAGATAAAATACCAAATTCTACCTATGAAGCATTCTTGCCTAAAAATTCGAATCTAAATCTAATCACACCTTTAAAATCTAATCTTGTAATATATACATGTATGTGTATATGTATATATGTATATGGACCAGAAAGCAATTTAAAATCCTTTTCAGGAGCCATATGCCAGTGGCTCACTCCTGTAACACTAGCTACTCACTCAGTAGCCTGAGATTTGCATATCAAGGTTGGAAGCCAACAGGCAGGTAAGTCTGCATGACTTTTATCGCCAAATAAGCACCAAAAAGCTGGAAGCAGAACTGTGGAGTACTGTTGTAGAGTACCAGCCTTGAGCGGAAAAATCTAAGGGATGGGGCTTAGGCTCTAAATACAAGCCCCATTACCAGCACAAAACCAATTCTCTTCTTAGGCAAGTATTTAGTCAAATTGAGAACACAGAAAATTGTATAGGAATTCTATAGAGAAAATGACAAAAGGTTTTGCCAGAAAATGAAGGACATTAATTTAAGAAGACAAAACTGTTGCTGAGGATGTAGTTCTACCGTAGAGCACTTACATGGCAAGTGCAAAACCCTGGATTTGATTCCAGCACTGCAAGAGTAAAGAGGAAGAAAGTCAAAGGGATGTTAAGAAAAAAGTAAAACTTTGGACAAATAATAACCAAATTCAATGTCTGGACCTGGAGCAATTTTTTTAAATTAATGTATACTAATATCCAGAGCAGTTTTACTGCAAAATTTCCATGCACGCATTTAATGTACTTTTGTCAAGTTCACACACTGTGTTAGTTTCTGTTATTACTAATCATCCTCTCTTTTACAATTTAATGGGTTTCATTATTCAATTTCATACATGGATATAAGCTCAATACACGAATACTTCAATCATAACCTCTCACTCTCTGTCAGAAAGACAACTATTATGTTTTCTCATACATAGAATTTAAACGTGATCAAAATGATGTAAATATCAAAAGGGGACCATTAAGGGAAGAACCAAATGGGAGGAAGCATAAAAGGCTTAAAATAAGTTTTATTCACAAATCTTAATGGTTCATTTGGCAACAGCTCTGATAGTGTAAAGACTGGGTACAGATATCACCTGAAGGCTCATTACTCACACCTTCGGTAGATGCCAGTTATTAGCTAGGACTTTCAGCCTTGACATGTAGCTTGGGCTTCCTTCCAACATGGCAGCTTGGTGCACAGGGTAAGGGTTTCTACACAGAAACTGGGAGGGAGCTAGGACTTTTATGATCTAATTTCTTCAGAGATCATGTGTCATCATATATCATGCCACAATCAGTTGATTAGAAACAAGTCAGTGAGGCCTGCCAGTCTTTCTTAGGAATTAAGCATTAGCTTCTGTTTCTGGAGTGCAAGGACAAAAAAGAATAAAATAAACTGAGATGTGTTTTAAATTCCAGTCTACTGTGAACATAAAGCACTCACATTCCTCTCACATGAAAAAAAAAGAAAAAGAAATAGTCACTTTTCCTCAAGAACTACCTGTCTTCCTAATCTATTATCTAAATTTAAATCAGGTCCAGAGATAGGCATTGCTCCTGAGGGGTAATTCAATGAGTACAGCCCAAATAAAGTTTATCTTGAGGTGAGAAGATCTATGAATCTATAAAGTAAGAAGAAGTAATCTGTCTCCACACAACTAGAATAAATAATAGGCAAAACAAACATTGGACAAGCCAGATTAGTCGATTAAAAAAAAAGCTGGAGGGAGAGGGGAGGGAACCAATGGACAAAGCAGGCAGGCACTGGTTCACAACAGTTCTGAAAGCCAACTAGGCACATGTTGTCAGTTCCTGAATTAAGACATTACTACTGCCTAGAATTAGCTCTTGGTTTTCCCTCTTTGGACTCCATTTTACTGTCTGAATTTCTTTTCTTGTGCATAAAATATAGCCCATGTTTGCCAAGTACATTTTTCAAATTGCTTTCAGTTTATAGATGTTCAAGAATTCAAAGACTTACAGGATTTTTCTGTAACAGCTTTATTAAAATATAATTTGCATGCCATATAACCACCCATCTAAAATGTACAATTCAATGGTTTTTCACCAAGTTGTGCAACAATCACCACAATCAATTTTAGCTTTTCATACCCCTAAAGCCTATAGCATTTAGCAATCACTAATTCCCTCTACCCACACAGAATTCCTAAGCAACCACTAATCTTTTTTTTTTCAGTGTTGGGAAGAGTCTTGTGCATGCTAGACAAGACCCCCTCACTGTATTATATCCACAAACCCACGAATACACTTTTTATTTCTGTACAGATTTGCTTGTTCTGAGCACTTTATATAGATGGAATAATATATATTATGTGGTCTTTTCTGACTACCCCCTTTAACTTAAAATAATGTTTTCCATGTTCATGCATGTTATAGAATGTACCAGTACTTCAGTTATTTCCATTACAAAATAATACTCCATTATGATGTGGATAAACTACATATTTATCTATTCTACTGTTGAGGAATATGTGGGCGATTTGGTTCTTATGAGTGTTTATATAACCATTGTTATGCAAGAATAGACACACATTTTCATTTCTCTCGGGTACACATTTAGGGATGAAATTGTTAGGTCACAGGGTATAACTATGTTTGTTGTTTTGAGGCATTTCCAGGCTGTTTTCCACTGTAATTAGTACCATTTTACATTTCTATCAATCATACCTTATCTTTTCATTTGTGTACTGTCCTCTATATTCCAAACTGGTATTCGTTTAACAAGAGCAGCAGTGGCTCACATCTGTAATCCAAACTACTAATGAGTCTGAAATGCAGAGGATCAGGGTTTGAAGCCATCCTGGGC